TTAATAAATTAATTAAGTGAAATCAGGAAGAAATTATTACCTTATATTATTTTAAGTTTAATTATAAATAGCGTAACTATTTGTTCGGAATTGTTTCTTTCTTTTTTAAAATGACAACAATAAATTTAATATGAGAGAGAGAGAGGGAGAGAGAAGTGAAAAAGTCTCCCAAGAAGTGACCGTGCTATTGGACCCGGCTCAATGACCAGGCCCAACAACAGGGTGCCGCTCACGTTGGAGGGGGACAGTCAGCTCTCCCTCCAATTATAGGGCGCCACATCGGCGCCCTATCATTTGTCCCGGTCATTGAGCCAGGACAAATGGCTTAATTCCCCAAGAATACTCTGTCGACCATAATAATAATAAAAAAATTAATTAAAACTAAAAACAAGAAGAAAAAATTAAGAAGATGAACTCTAATATTAAAATTAAATAATGACATTCATAGTGAGTGACTGTCGTAATCATCCTATGTGTCAGATATCTATTCACTTAATTTTTTTAATTAATAATGCTCACTATGGATGATTAAGTGATTAAATATATGCCAAATTTAAATTTTTATCAAATTCAAGTTAACAATTAATTTTAAACACATATTTAATAGAGACTTTTATCAAAATTTGTTAAGAATCTTATTTTAATCCCCACTAAACATGGGTTTGTCAACTCCAAATTAATTATTCATTAACAAGACAAAATGGTGTCTTATTTTAACTTGTTTTACTTATCATTTCCTAACAACTATATTGACCGTTTTTAATTATTTGCATGCACTGTGATAAAACCTAAGATATATTAATAAATTAGTGATATTAAATCATTTGATGTCCTGACATTGTGAAAAAACGCGCTAGCTTTATTAGGTAAAAGATTTTTAATTACTTAATTAAGGCATAGTGTGTCAACCAATTAATTTGAAATGAAGACTTTCAAAGTCAAGTTAAAATATTATATTTGAAGTGCAATATATATTATTTATCTTCCAGAAATAGGGGCTCAACGGATCGAGTAGAGCCGGCTCTTTACTTAGACACTCGAGTTTGGCTTGTATCCACAAATTAGGCTTGATTTGATCATTTGTAATGCAATACAAAAAGAAAAAGGTTTCAAGAAAAAGTGAGATCGGGGTCCAAAAAATTAATTACGTCAAATTGTCAAAACCAAAGCCCAAACCACATTTCCTTCCTCCTCAAAAACGTAATTAGTTTTTTGCACATTTCAACAAATTCATTAACTTGAAAATAAATTATGAATAATGTTATTTAGCACCAGTGGTACTTAAGTATAAATAACATTATTCATAATTTATTTTCAAGTTAATGAATTTGTTGAAATTAATTTTTTGGACCCCGATCTCACTTTTTCTTGAAACCTTTTTCTTTTTGTATTGCATTACAAATTATCAAATCAAGCCTAATTTGTGGATACAAGCCAAACTCGAGTGTCTAAGTAAAGAGCCGGCTCTACTCGATCCGTTGAGCCCCTATTTCTGGAAGATAAATAATATATATTGCACTTCAAATATATAATTTTAACTTGACTTTGAAAGTCTTCATTTCTCCAGATGTGATAAACAATTCAGCGTCTTGTTCTTTATTCTTGAGAGTGTAATAAAATTTAAAATAACAATCTGCAACATTACAGGTATAAGTGAAAACCTTTGAAATAGAGTTGTAATCTTTGATTATTGTGTTAGATTTGTCGTGACTTTGGTTGAATTGTTGATTTAGGTTTTTTGTTCGTCTGAAGAAATTTGGATTCTCAAGCATATTATCAGGTATAGCCGTATAGAAATGGCGACTGGAGAGAGAAAAGGATAAAGTCCCTATGCAACATTTAATCCAATGTCGCTCAGATTAAACAAAATTGTTATTTGTTAACATGATCAGAAATCATGTAGTTTGGCAAAGAAGTTCGATAACTTCCAAATACTTTCCTTTGTTCGTATGCTATTTTTCTTCTGTTACAGTTATTTGTGAATAACGAAGTTGTATTTGTGTTTTGTGATAAATAAACTTGGGTGTTGTGCTCTGTATTTTCAGAAGAATCCATTTTCTATGTTCATAAAAAGAGCATATAAATGTGCTCTCTTTTTTGGCGTTATGACTATTCGTGAAAAATGTAGTTTCTACATTGTTATTTTTCTCCATTCCATAGCAACTAGATGGTAGAACCATTTTGATGTTGTTTCCCTTCAAAGTTGTAGCAGATTAGTGGAGCAATTGTTCAATGTTGGAAAAAAGGGATAGCTTTGAATTTTTGTCACTTTTCTATGTATAACCAAGAGATTTAGACGGACGGTTGAAACAATTGTGATTGAAGCTATTGAAACTTTGCAGTTCGTGCAATTAAAAGGCTCAATTGTGTCTTCTCTTTGTCACTTTTTCGCATGTTTGTAATTTTTTTTAAATTGTCACTTTTCTAAATGTTTGTCACTTTTTTTTGAATTCATGTTACTT